CAAGGCCTGATCTGAAGAACTAACGAAGAATGGTCGATGGCTGAATGGACCAGCGTTTCCTTATGGAAGTACTAGGCTCGCTGGCCTGCAATAATTTGAGTCCCGGAACTGATACATAGTGACCCAAAGTAAGGGGGGAAAGCAAGATTTGCGCCACTACTGCTTCTTAAAATCCTCTTGACAAGTTAATATATCAATATTCTTTGTGGTGGAAAATAAAAACAGCATTTACTTGGCTGATGTAGTAAAGTTTACGAGCAGAAACAGGGAAGCTTCAAAACCAATACGCCATCCTTAGTAATAGAGGGTTTTTAAACGGAAGTTTTACAGTGGAAGAACGTCATAAGGCTGAAAAAGAAGTACCGTAAAATTCCGAAAATGAGCCCCTCCAAATATAAGCCCTCCAAACTCGTAACTCAAAAAACCCTCCGTTAAAAAAATCACCCCTCCAAATATAAGCCCTCCCGGGGGGCTTGTGCTTAGAAATTGCCCTCAAATACAAAGTAAGACAAAGCAAAAACGGTAAATTTCCTTCCAACTATAAGGGTAGCCCAATCGATTTTGAGACGCTAATTTCCTTCCGTAGATAAGCCCCTCCGAATATAAGCCCCGCCAAAAAAAAAAGCCCCTGAAAAAGGGCCTTTGAAAAATATAAGCCCCGGGACTTATTTTCGGAATTTTACGGCAATTGCGTTCCCGGAGGTATTTAACGCACCTTCTACCTTGTCGGACGAAAGACAAGCCAAAATGGTTACATGAGGAGAGGCTCATCAACTTTTAAGTTGGGCCAGAAGTTAAGAGGTGGATTATTATCCTTTCATTCGTCCAAGGGATGACTATGTCACAGAACTAATAATTGCTTTTCCTATCACCATGAGAAAGTAGGTCACCTTGGACAGGGGTCTGTGTTTCTCTGGACTTGTAAATGGACGTTCTGTAGTGCGCGATTGTTAACGGTAGTGAAGACTGTTAGAAAAGAAAAGCTTAATTGGGACCACAATTGATCGCAAATTTGCCCCAAGAGGGAGTTACTCCGCACAAACCTTTGTTCACGCATATTGGAGTGAACGTTTTTGGTCCATAGGAGTGAAACAAGGCCGAAAGCAGAGTGAAACAGTATAGTTTTTTATTCACTTGATCAACATTCCGAGCCATACACATCGAAGCTGCACACAGCTAGAACACAGTCTCAATGTTTAATGCCTTAAGAAGATTCATTAATCTCAAAGGTCTCCTAAAGTAAATTCGAAACGACCCTGGAAAGAACTTTACCGGAACTGATGACGAGTTGGAGCTAGACCTGTGTCGATGAGTGTATCAGCAAAGAATCAATGGGGTTTATACATATAGAGGGATTAAATGGATCTCCAACCCTCCTGGGACATGCCATATGGGAGTAGCTTGGGAGAGGATGACAAAGGCCGTACACCAGATCCTAAAGGCCCTATTAAAACGAGCTGTACTGTCTCAAGGTGCGCGAAACGACAGAAGGGAAGAGAAGCGCAAACTACGACAACAGTCCTTAAACGGCCAATTATGAAACCTGCTCATCATCGTTGTCTTCATCTTCATTTACATCATCTTCTACATCGTCCTCACAATATTTTCAGCTCTTATTCTCGGCAAGCTCTCTCCCTCATTCAAAAAGTTGGTGTTCCTTCTATCGCCATCATATTGTTTCGGACAACCCACTGCTTCGTGTCGATTGCTGTTAGACTTACGGCTAAATGCTCTCGGACAGAATAGCTAAAATGTACCATTCTCTCGCCATATTAATTCGATGAACGTTTGATGTGGAAAGTAGTCACGCAAAACTCCCCCGTTTAATTAATTTAGGGTTAAGTCACCCAGGACTACTTTACCTTAAAAGCAATGCTAGAACCACTCTGAGTGGTCAGTGAGCCCCTTTGAGAGCTTAACTCTGGGCAACTCTTAGTAACTCAGAGCAACTGTGAAACATTATTGAAAAATTATTGAGCACCTCAAAGCAACACTGAGTAATCAACATCACTAGCTCAGAGCCACACCGCGTGGTCAGTGAGCCCATTTAGAGCTTTACTCAGGGCAGCTCTAAGTGGCTCAGAGCAATGTTAAATAACCATGATGAGCAGCTCAGAGCAACACTTATTAAATAGTATACACATTAGCGCTACTGAGAGCAGATCTAAAGTAGCTCGAAGCAATGCTGAATAATCAGTGAGCAGCGCCGAGCAACGCTGAGTGAAGGGTGGGCACGTGCACCTTTGCGCTAATAAGAGCAACTCTGAGTAATCAAAGAGCATCCGTTGTAGTAAGTGTATGGGAAGCGGTTTCAGTGAGAGAAAAAGTATGGAAGCGGGGTTTAATAATGAGGTCGCCATCTTGAACTTTTAATGTGAACACGTTTTTACTAATGAGGTCGCTATCTTGAATGGGAGAAAAGTTTGGTTCAGAGAAAGCAAAGCTGAAATCGAACAACTAAAATGCAGCGGCAAATATTTTGTCTCAAGTTCAAAACAACGCCTCAGTATATCGATTTCGTTCGTTTTTAAACATACCACACTATTTTTCTCAACTGTGCTTAATGCTGGGTGACAGAAATTACAACAATCGTTTAAATATGAATCATTTGGAACCAAGAATCGTATTCAATATATTTGACCTTTCTCGAACTTGTTCGAAGGAAACAAAAGGGCTATTAAATAAACTTAATTAACAACGTTTGAAGGTCTGCTCTATGACATTCCGCTTTCTACGAAACTTAAAAAAAACGTCCTCTTAAAATAATTATCAGTTATCCTCTTTAAACTTGAGTGATTTCAACACAGCATCTGTCTTTTGACGTCACTATTTACCTGTCACAATTTCCATATGTTAATCACCATGTGGATCCGCATGATCCGCCCTCCTAGAAACCTTATTTGCTATACTACTTAGTTACGTTACTTTGCAAACTTACAGTTTCTCTGAGCTATGTTCGGGACGGGACATCCGGTTCCCTATGGAGAGCCAAAGTATGAGATCCCTTGACGTTTCTATGTCAGGGTATGGCTCCTCAACTGAAGACAACAACCAAGATAACAACATATTTTGTTTAGGAAACAGCTATGAGAACACGATAAAAATTTGCTAATATTTGACACCCACCGTAAGTGGCAATTTCCCACAAGACAATACCATAGGACCATCTTTAAGGAAACGAAAGAAACAGAAAGATATGCGAGTCAAATAAGTCCATTCACATGCACGATCGAATCTGACTAAACGGTATGTAAAAGCATGAAGTCGAAAATCATTGCTTCAAGTATCGCAGCTGATCGTTGATAAAACCAGTTTGGACACCTACACGTCACTTTTGGCAGTATATACTTGGACCTTTAACGACTCTAAGGATAACCATCTCCAAGGTACTCTACCCTACAGAAGAGAGAAAGATTCTCGCTTTAGAATTTGAATAGCCAGCGATCATGTCCTTTTGGCATCCCTATTACATACTAAAAAAATCGCAAAGTAGAAGTTGAAGGGGATACCTTAAGAGCCCCCCACCCCCCTCCCCTCCACCTATGCCCCCCTTGTTATAGGCCCATCTCACTAGGAAGTTTCTGGAGGTTTCACGTTATAGTCGTGCAGAACAACGGCAAAGAAATGTATATAAAAAGTGTGCTGCACGTGCAAAGTTGATTTTTTGCTAATTAGACCTACTGATTTTTTTTACCGTCTTCGTTCCCATCATCGCTTATTAACGAGAGCTTCCCTTTTTGCCCTGGCTAAATCTATATATTAATCCCCTCCAGATATAAACCCCTCTCTAATTTTTCCTGTTTTAGCAAGCACTTTTTAGGATTTCTGTAAGTTTCCAACGTTTTACAGTTGCCGTACAATACTGAGTTAACAGGCTTAACGAAAGGCTTTGTTTGTGTACAGTACGTATTTGCCACTTCTTATGATGGAGTCTGAACTTCAGATTTGTTGTGTTCCAGTTTTCTTCGTTCTGTGAGTTTTCTGTTCCAAATGTATTGAAATGAATTCGATTTATTATAACACTTTAATTAAAAAAGCCAGTAAATGATAAACGTATTTTGATTAGCACTGCTATTTAACAATTAGTTCATGCGTCAGCGTGCGTATATCGAGATATTGAGCACGCGTGAAGTCTGGAGAGCACGAACTAGGCGAAAGAGTTTTGAGCAACTCTAACCTCTCGAGTGCTCTCCAAACTTCCCAAGTGCTCAACATCTCGACATACGCACAGTTGAAACATTATTGAACTAATAGTTTTATAACATTATCAAAGCGATAGATATAGCAGTTCACTTAAAATTTTATTATTGTAGCGCGCGTCAATGTCTACGTGACTATATATATTTTTACCTGACAGCATGTTTTTAAGCTTATCTTGAAACTGAGAGATTTAACTCAACTCACTTGAGATAACATTACAAAAGATTGTAAAATCCATATTGGGGTACTGAAAAACTATTAATTCGCAGAAAAATTCTTCTAGAGAGAAAGATTTTTGCAAAGAATGATTTGCAAACGACATAGCCCGCACAGCTCGCGCAGATGACAACAACAACAACACACACACCTAATTTCCCCACTATTGGTTAAGAAATTCAAAAGTTTTCTTTTAAATTTACGTTATGAAATACATGGTACGCGCTTCACGTATGATGTGAAGCGTATGCGTATGCAGTTGCGTTGGGAGACGTCTTGGGAGGATGGTCACAAAGACTTGAGGTATAGTTTATTGACGTTATTAGTGTGCTCAATGGGAATATGGAGCACGCTCGCGCCATTAAATTTGATTAGGCGAACATTCTAGCTATTGTATAAAGCTTGTTCTAGTCCGATGATAAGCGCCCCTCGGTCATAAGCCCCCCTTGGATATAAACCCCTCAGTTTATAAGTCCTTCTAAAACCCTTCACGAAGATACAGAAGCCCAGGGATTATAAGCGGCAGTTCACGGTATATCATTCTTATGGTGTCTCGATTTACAGTTGAAAATGTCGGCTGTCCCAAAATTGTGCACTTCAAAGCGGTTCCCTAGGCTACATGTACTTACACTGGATATTTTGGTGTAAATACCATAATCTGAGATATCACGTGCCAATCCAAAGTCGCCAACTTTGGCTACGAGGTTTTCTCCAATGAAGACATTTCTGGCTGAAAGGTCGCGATGAACGCACTAAAAAGAAATAAAAAGATACAAAGATAAAAAGTTATATACTGGTAAAAGCTCAAAACGTACAGAGATGCGGGGAGAGCCTCGAACTAACCAAGCCTAACTGTGAAAAAAGTGATTGGAGCGAGGGCTATAATAAAAAAGCCCAATGGTAATGGAAAGAAATGGGAAATTCGGCGCTAAATCTTAGCGGTTTTTTGTTGGCTTGCATGAGAAGAATCTGAAATCCACTTTCCTCTGAAACTTAAAAAAGCTTTGTAAAACGACAACAACAACAAACAAACAACCTGCACTGCTTAACAATACATCAAACTGAAACAAAGGCTCATTTTAGGCAGTTTACGAAACATATCATATCAAAATAATAATATATCAAACTAAATCATTAGCCGACTGATAGCATAGCATCAGTAGGAGTAAAGAGTCTAATCTTCACGATGGCGCGTAAAGAATATCAAAAAACGAATGAAAAATAAACCGAATTTTGAGACTGTAGCGAGCATCAAATGCTGGGGTCAATAAGGCACGTTGTCAGGGTAAAATTCACCTCAGACTTTTCCTACGAGTATTTTGTTTCTTAATCTTAACGTTAAACTTTGATAGTGCTCTTCTATTCTATGCCTTTATATCCTTTAATTTAGCGAAAAACTAAAAATTTACGTTTAAAGTACGACACATGCTTTGCTAATTTAACGAGTGATTGAAAAGGTGAAAGAAAGCCGCATCCGGCATCCCGATTTTCTCAATATTTTTCTTGGTATCACAACCTAGGAATCCCCACTGGACCAAATTATTACAATTTTATTCTAAAAAAAAAAATGACCTCAGGAGCTTAGTTTGCTGACGACTCAAAGAATTAGTCATCATACGTCGCTACCGAAACTCAAGGAAACGCGCAGCGGTAGCAAGAGAATTGCTTAGATCCTATTTCATCATCGAAAGCCGGCAAACAATGCAGTACATGTACACGACTTTCATAATGGTGGAACTAGCATGTTGCCTGGTTCTATTGCTATGAAGCGAGGTCAAAGAAGCCTCTTGCAGATTCTAAACTTACAGGTGGGTCGAGGAAATTAGCTTACTTTAGCGATGAAATGGTTCTTCAAACGCTGCCCCATGTAATTCTTCCCGCAATCGGAATTCCCGATGCGGCCCTTCCCCCCCCCCCCCCCCTAACCAAGTGTAAACCTGAAGAGCTAAAGAAAAAAAAAAGATTTACCCAGGGCTAAAAGCGAAGCTCCCATAGATAAATTTATTATTTAAATCAAACAAAAAACTTTAAAAAAACAAAAACGAAAACTAAATGGCACAATTGTAATTTTTAAGGTAAAGCANCCACCCGGTTGTCACTTTAGACAAGCGCCAAATTTTCAGTGAACATTAAAAGAGTTACGCTTCAACATAATAAAGAATTTATTGTTTATTTTTTCTTATTTAATGGTTTTATAACGATGTGGAAACGCGCGGCATTTTGAGTACTCCTGCAAGCGTTGTCTGTGAACGACCGAAAACAAACAGCAAAGCAATTGCAAGAGACTACTAACAATCAATAAAAGAAATGTAATTCGGTGAAACATTTACAGAGACAACAATTTTCATTCACGAAGACAAGTATTAAAGCGTCTCTAAAAATCCTGAGTCTTTACGCTTAAGCCTAAAGCTTTTAGCCGGCTTCCTGGTGTTTACTGTTTTCAGAGATGAACTCGAGGCTGGAGAAAATCGCTCAAAGCTTTCTTTCTACAGCCAAAATTATAACTAAATACTCTTCGAAACGTTTTTTCATTCTATATGCGGAGAGAAAATATCGACTAAAGGCTTTTTAAAGCTCTGTAAACTTATATATATACTAGATCAGATCATTGTCTCAGATCTTAATACAAACGTGCATAAATTAGCCTCATAAACTGCGCTCGACTTCATGAAATTAGATATAAAAAAAACAAACATACACTGTATACAATAATTACTCAGGCTTACCATTCGAGATGCAGCTCTTGAAAGCTATCAAGAAAGGCCAGAATCGCTTGAGGGACTTTTCAACCCCGCATCCAGCAAGGTGAAAAACGAAAACGATGCATCCGAAATCAGATTTACAATTTTGACAACCGGCGCATTTCCCAACCAAAAATTCAATAAACAAACCAGCCATGAATCAAAGAAGACTGTTGATAGCAGCTGTATTTCATTTTAAGCATCCAGTGGGAAAAGACAGTAAAAAACATCACAAGTTGACAAAATACTCTGTCAGCTTCAGCTGTCAAAGTAAACAAGATTCAAGATGCTGTATAAATTTTCTGCATGAACTCACCTGTCAAATTTTGACCAATCAGAGCATAAAAATTGGACTGTCGTAGAGCGTGATCAACGCGTGACTATAGTGAGAAAAGTGAAAAGCCTCTGTCTTCCCTGCTTTTATTTTTAAATGATTGGCTGAGTTTTCCTGCCGAGATCAGTTTGAAATCAAAATGTTAATAACGCGAGGCCATAGTGACATTGACACAACACTTTCTGTCATCATGTCATTATGTTGCTGCCGTTCTCTTTGCCTTTGTATTTCTCTTTCGCGTTGCCTTTGTCTGTTCATTCTAGCTATGTCTCGTTCTGCTTGCCGGCGTTTTTCACTATAATTTTCTCTCCTTCTTCTCGCTCTGACTCTTTCTACTTGCCGACTTTCTTCGCTAAAATGTTGTCTTCTTCTTCTACTTCTAACGCGCTCTCTGTGGCGATCGTCTTCGCTTGTTCTACGCGTGTTGACTCTTGCTCTCTGCTGTTCACCTTCTCTTTGCTCTCTGCTTAAAACCTGTCATCTACACGCTAAAATCTCTCTGCTGTTGTTTGTTGACATAATAGCTTTCGTAAGTTGTAATAAAAAGTTAGAAAGGCTCTGTCGAAAAATCTTTTTACTAAGTTGCTTTGAAATTTCTTTTTTCAGAACCAGTTGCGCGATATAATTGCGCGACGTTGCGCCATGGGATTTCCCGCCAAAAAATCTCTACTTTCCCCTACCCCAAGAGTCCATGCGGACTACTTTCCACTACCCGGAAAGTCCGTACGGACGGACGTACGCTGACGTCATAACCAAAATTTCTCGGATGGGTAGTTTATCTTAGTTATGGTGCTCCGCTCGCGCTCGCTTCGCGCGCGCAAGGAGCTCCGCTATCAGAATTGAAGTTTTGATAGAGGTCTCGTGCCATAACGGGCACAATATAAAAAAAAAAAAAAAGCGGAGCTGATGAAAAGAGTTCATTCGTTTATCAAAACAGGTTAAGACCAGGCAAGAGCCATAATATTGGCTCTTGGACAAGGAGATTGTGGATCTAGATCCCGACAGAATTTACGGCCGCAGAAAAGAAAAGCAGATCCGCTTTTCAATACAGATTTCAAAATTAAGCCAGACAATACAGAAAGAATGAGAAGAAGAAGAAGAAGAAGAAAAGAAAGAATAAAGAAGGGACCTTTATGACAGGATATTCGCGGCGGGTCAGCCTCCAGTTCCTAACCCCGCCCGATACTGCAGGCTCGGCTTTTGAGTAGCGCCACTCAAGTCGCGAGGGCTAACGGGAGATAAGTATTTCTAGTAACCTTGTCAAGGGCGAAGCGCGTGGATCGCGCGTGGTCTTAGCGGTCTTCAAACTAAATTTTACTTAATTATATTGCTGGTAGTTAATCCGGTATAGCAAAGCTATCATCCTTCAATTTTTAAAACTGTCCAATTAAGGATTAATTTGGATAGTTTCGGATCATAGGACTTTCGATAGTCGAGGGTTATGTGTATTTAGTATCACCTAACGAGTGGACTAATGAAAATCCTGCATTTTACTTGGCTACACTCACTGGGCTATTAGTCTTTGAGAAGCGAAATTCGCCGATTTTGAGAACTGACCAAAACAATGGCGGCCGCTTCGCATTTTGTCCAGGTTGCAAATGAGTTTCTAGATAACTTGCTAGACATTTCCATTCTATAAAATACTAATAAAAGCAACGAAGTATGGAATGAAGATATTAAATAGTAAGTTAACTTAAGTTTGTTTTTACTAGACGAAATTGCGAACATTTAAAGTGGTTTCGTTTCAAGTTACCATAAATTCAAAATAAATTAAATTAGCTTTTTTCGATAAGTGTTTTCAGCATATTGCAGTCAATTTTTTTTAATAGAATGGTTTGCAGGCCAGACAAAATTCAAAACAGTTATACAAGACATGGAGAAAGAAGAGTTAAATGAATGTCTCACAATGTTTTACGCTGCTGTCAGGCGAGAGGAGGGCACAGAGTTCAAAGTTTTGTCTCTTAAAGCGATCCAGGCAGCTGTCAACCGATACTTAAGACAACCTGCCAACAACAAGCCATGGTCGATAGTCGGCGACTCAGCCTTCCAAAAATCTAACAAAGTCCTCAACGCTATTTGCAAACAAATGATGAAGGAGGGGAAAGTTGGGCCAACCCTTCATAAAAATCCTATTACGAGCGAACAACTGCAACAGCTTTACGGAACATGGCAACTCGGCGAGGGGGATACCTTGGATCCGCCTCAAATCCTCCGTACTGAATGGTTTTACATAACCTTTTGTTTAAAAGGGAATGAAAATCACAGAAGGCTCACCTGAGATATGTTGGTTCTTCGGCGTACACCTCAAGGGCGACGTTACTATGAGTTTCGCATCCCCTTTTTGTCCACAAATCATCAAGCAGATAACCCCGACGAATCAGCCTCGGCCTTCGGCTCGGTTGATAACACTTACCGCGACCTTGATTATTCCGGGTATCACAAAAACCTCATCCAATAATTGTTTGAAATACGTATTTCTTACCTGCTTTTTGTCCGACTAGTTGGGTGAAACTAAAACAATTAGACCCTTCGACCTCAAGGGCCATAGGTCAATGCCGAATGGGCTATTGACCCGTAGCCCTTTCGGGCCACGGGACTAACTGTTAAAAAACTGTTCCTTTTGAGATTTTTTCGGTAGCAATGGTACCATTTTTCATGAAGTGCCTGACGCTACCATGTAACCCTGAATCAAGGCAATACAACATATGGACTATTCACAACCTTTCTTTGTACGTAAATAAAGGATGACAAATTAAAAGTACTAATAATAATAATAATAATAATAATAATAATAATAATCCCGGGAAAATCTCGCTTTCCAAGCCCACCCCTCGCGCTTTTCTTATACGTTCGCGTCTAGGGCTAGTAGCCTGCGTTAGGGCTGGGGATCGTTTACTGAAACAGATACATTCAAAAATGCGCGAGTTGTAAGTTCTTATTAAAACACAAGATAAAGTTATTTTCAAGCCAAACTTTGCCACGCGTTTGGCAATCAGTAGAAAAAAAATGGCACTCTCTCTAATAATGCTATTTTTTCATTCACTCAGCTGGAATTACGGCAAAATAATTTATTTTTATGTCCACGCTAATAAGGGTAAAAAAAATCTTTCAACGATTACTTGCTGTAAAAGTTTTTGATTTTGACTATTGTTTTGCAATTTTCGTTTATCCTGGACTCCGGTTGCGTAAATATTAAACAGTTCGTGCAATTTCTTTCATAAAGGTGTTCTTCCAGGAATATTATAATATTGGTTGTCGTGATGTGAATTAAACTTTCGTTTATCTTATTCACCCAAATATCGAAAGAGTAATTCGTAAGGTATTCGAAGATCTTTGGATCATCGACAAAAGTTTCCGGAAATATTTGGACTACTTCTTAGAAGATAAAAAAGTTGTATGAAACGGTAAGTTTCAATTCTTGACCACCGCCTCTCTCCATTTTCCCCTTTATAGTTGTTTAAGGTGGCTTACTACAGTCTTTTCCAATAACAGGGAGCGTGACCAGGGCGCTAAGAAAACTTAACTTGTACCACACTTTTTAGATACATGTGAGTAAAACGTTTTTTTATTATGACTACTGGGTTTTCGCAGGTTTTCGTCTCAAGAATATGACGAAGAGATATTAAACTTTCGCACTGACGTGTCAACTATGTTATTTTCGACAACTGAAAAACGTTATGAACAAGTGGATAATAATCGATTTTGTACCTGCAGCATCTGTTCTAGTTTATGATTTGTAAAATACAACAGACGCTTTTGCAACAGACGAGAAAAAAAATGTACATAAAATGATTCGGCTTCGAGCGGAAGAAACAAAGGAACACAACGAGACTACAATTTGTGACACTTAACTCTCTAATTCTTCTCTTCTTTTCTCCCAATGTTGTTAAGGAATAGTTTTTTGAGCTGAGCGAACCCATTTTCGCAGCCAACATTGAGGAAAAGGAAGAGACTGAAGAACGTTCACAATAGTATATGGGCGTTCATGAGGTCCTTGACCCAGGTTGTAATGTCACACGTTGTAGAAAGGGTTCGGTTTTTCAAGCTGTTTTGCAAGTTATCATCAATAAATCCTAAATGTTTGAAATCTAAAAATTCTCTGAATGTGAAAATAAAGGTTTCTCTAATGCCGTGGTTCTAATAAGAATAAAGCTAAGTCATATTTTGGTCAACACTGCCACTGACAGCGTACGTAATAAACAAGACAATTAATTTTGCCAGCAGTAGCAGACACGAAGGTAGAGTTACATCAGTATCGTTATAGCTCCCATGAGAGACTTTCTGGCCGGCGAGAACGAGGAATGACTTTGTCGACAAAAAATTGTGGAGAAGTCTTTCTCTGAAGGCGGTTTGCCGCGATGCAGTTTTGCACACGTTATTATACTCGGGGATGAACTATGTAGCCACTTTGTTAACATATAAACTTTCTTTCATGTTCCAAGGACCGAGGACCGATGTTCTCACAACTGGTTGCAAAGCGGTCATCTTGCGCGGTGGTCAGCGGATAATAGCAATAGGTGCAATATTTTTCCCAAAGAAAATATTTTAGAAGCGACAGGCGAACCGACAAAGGAAATAATTCAATAATTTTAAAAAAATACATCATGCCGCTTTGTTTTTCTCGTATAACTTATTTCTCCTTTGGTACTGAAACTGCGAGGGAAACCAAACGCAAACGACCGTCACTGCAACCGTGTAATTTCTTAACCGACAACAACGCGCGCTGGCCTATCGATCGATTTTATAAAGGTTATATCGTTTTCGCCGGGCGAGGACATCGGAAGATTATAGAGGTTATGATGCTGAGAAAAATTACTGGAGAAAGGGTCAAATTCATGGGAAGTAAATCTATTTAAGAGAGCTTTATAAATATAAGCTTACATACCTGATTAAACAGATTCATACATCATAACATTTCACTTCGTTTATTATGACGGTCAACAACTGACCTTGAATTCAAAGTTGAAATTGAAAACGATCCTAATAAAAAAAATCACTACTATTTCTGAAAGCTCTGTACCTTGAAGCGACCTTATCTTTATTCAGGTTTACAGCAAAACACGGATAGCTCAACTCTTCGGCGGTTCGATTCCAATTCTTATCAGCTAAACGCAGCTAACGCTATAAGTTGCATATTCCAAACTCTGTAGAGAAAACTTGTCCGTTATAAAAGAAAAGAAGACCACGCACTATGTCTGAAAACCGACATAAAATCAATAAATTTGCGAATTACCAAAATAAAATAGTGAGAAACAGTCCCTCCTTGGACCACCATGTTTTTGTTCCCTCTCAATACCGTTGAGCCTTGTTTTTGACGTAATGCGCATGATCTGTACACAAATCCGCTGTCAAGACCTATGATGATCGGATGATCGCTTTGCAAGTTGTAAAATCATCGTTTCGAATTCATTTAAGAGAATGTATGGGAAGTAGCTTCCCTCCCCCCACTTCCCCACATCGTCCCCATGAAGCTACTATCCGTACCATGCGAAGAAGACAAAATGCGATTCGGTTTCCGTGACAAGTGAAACAGTATTATCGTCCACAAATCCAGAATGAAGTGAGGTTTAAAAATTCCTATTAAATGTCACCATATTCCCTTTTCAGTGGTGAATTTTCGATTGTGGTAACCACGCTGTACCCAACCATGCAAGGATCGGATAGTCCAAACACATTTTTAGCTTGACAAATGGTGGCTATCGCTACGAATCAAAGGCAGTCCCAGGATGGGAAAACAGAGTGCACGCGCGATCTCACCAGCAGGGTTTTCCCCGAACGGTGAGGCATGCGCAATGCTTTTCTCCATGGAGGTCGTAAAAAAGACAATTTCCACGCTAAGTTTCTCAAAACCTAGCCGTACGACCTGGGTTCAAATTTTGAGGATTTTACGGAAACATAAAGACGAAACCGTAAACATTTTTTCAAACGGCTCCTATCGACAGTTTTTTAGTTATTATAAAGAGAGAAAATACCACATTCTTGGGTTTCGCAAAAATTCTGTCTATAGGATTTTTTCTCTCTCTCCAAAAACAATTATTTCTCAGTAATAAATAAATCCAGAAATTTTCCGATAGAGTCATACGGCTAGTTTTTAAGAAAACAGCTTTTAAAGGTCTAGCTTCCAGTTCCCTTTTAGGGTGCTCGGTCACTATATTTCGCGTTAAACTACGTCATATAATGTTTTTACGAGGTAAAGTGATAACTTACATCAATTGCAATGAATAACAATTCAGTAGAGACCTTCAGTTGCTAAAAATGTTCCAGTTTGAAAAAGTCGATAGTTTTCACCCGAAAACTGTAGTAACCCACCTTAATCTTAAATTAACATAATCGAGTAAAGCAAGCTAAACTAATTATTGTGTAACAAGCCGTTCATTATCTCATTCCCAAAACGAAACTGAACGTTTTAAAATTAATAGGCTTTTTTAACAGCTGAAAATGTGAATCAGCAGGCGTTCATGGAAAACAAGTGACTATGAGGGCTTACCACTTCTATCATAGTCTCTTACAATCTTCTTTAGAGAGTTGCTTGAAAATATGGGCGAAATTTATCGTCAAGGCAAACGCACAGCTAAAACACAGGCTGTATGCTTAGAGCTAAGTCCCCTTCGCTCCATTCCAGAGTTTCCCCTCCCCACCCAGTCCCCCGCCAGAGTCAGTAGGGGCGCTTACTATACGGGCGCAGTTCAGGCGTCCTTGACATTAATTTCTACCAAATTGCTCACTTTTTCTGGCTTGACATGTGCCATAAGCCTACATTTTGCCCAAACGTTACCCAGAAATGCAAAACTTGCTCGAGATTGCCAGAAATGGGGGATGGAGCGAAAAGACGAATGTCAGTTCAGACTACGACCTACCACTTTTCTCCCCTCAATAGCATTTTTCTAATAATACAAGTAATGAATTCATAATCGTATTTCAAAAAGAAACTGTTGTAAAAGAGGCTTTTTTAACAGCTTAAAAGTCTAAGGAGGCGTTTATGGAAAACAAGAGACTGTGCGAGGGCTTACCTGCACTTCATAGTCCCTTGCGGAAAATGTTTTGTTACGTTTTCAGGGTCGCTCTAACGGATAATTCAATGAAACTAAGGATTTTGAAGATCTGCATGTTTCGCTTTTATAGTTACGGAAGGTGCCACGTGACGTTCCTTTTCAGAATGGCATCTGTCTTCACGGAAAAACCTGCGTCTCAAAGTTCTCTGTCACTCAATCTCGTTTCGCTAAAGACTTCGCGTCTGTTGTCAAAAAACGTGAGGTAGGTCAAAGTTTTTTCCTTTTTTATAGCTATAACGATTTGTCTCACGAGAAATGAGAGCATTTTAAAGAATAGTTAACGACACTAAAGTCATTTAGTTTGTAAATAAATGATAACTGTTACAAATACCGTAAAAGTAAACAAATACGCACGTAAGGGAAGTGTTCATAGCTCACTTTCGCACACTAAAATTACTTCTCCTTTTGAAAAACTGATTGCTATTGTAAAGTCTAGAACGATTTTTAGTGTTTAAACTGGCGAAAAAGGGGCGAACGGGCCAGAATTTCAAATGCCGTCTAATTTCTCGCTTGTATTCACCAATACAACTACAAATTCAAAGGTTGTAGATTACGCGAGAGGCGTAAATGTTTTCAGTTGTCACTCAACCGCAGTTTCAATTGCCCCAAATTTTTATTTCACGGATTGATAGGGGAAGCATTGCTCTTTCTCTGAGATGGGTGTCAGTAAAACGCGGGGTCGGGATCGGTGTCAGTGCCGGGGTCGGGTTCTATTTGTTTTTTCTAAAGAATGCTGTTTTAGGGTTAGGGTTACGGTTAGTGCGACCCCGCGTTTATTGATGGTCGCGATAATATTGATTTAGAGGGTAATTTTGAAAAAAAAATTAAAAAATCGGATTGAAATCTTTTGAAATTGTAACAACGTTTAGATACAAAAGAAGGATCATAAAGTTGTTTTATATAAAAAAAACTCACGGTATTAGTTTCCGTTTCCATTCAAGAAGCGACGAGGATACCAAGCACTTTTTTTGTTGGTTTAAAGGCCTCTCGAAGGTGAACATTGAAAAATTGTTTATTTTTGAAAATATAAAGTCAAACGAACTGAGTCTTGTATTTTCTAAAATAGTTTCCAAACGGCGTTGATGTGACAAAGTTTGGGGGATTTCGATTTTTCCTTCTTGCCCACCTGTCCGTGGTATTTACAGAAAGTCGCTCGTAATAATATAGACAGAGCAAAGACAGACGGCCCCAGAGGAAGAATATAGAAAAATACCACTCCACGGATGACAACTTCTATATGAAGAATATCTGCTAGAATAACCATCCCTTCATATGCTTAAATTGCTAAGGTACTGGAAAATGTATTAAAAGATATATTACAAAGAGGTAAGCACGTTTTGAGAATGGAAAGAAGGTATTAAATTTCCACGCAAAAAGGTATTACACGTATATTCCCTTACCTTTTTCTTTTCTAAGAATTTCATCCCCAAAGCGATTTGAAACGCGATTTTAAATAACGTCCGGTCGTTTAAGCCAAAACGTACATTTGCATAACGACTCGCCTCACCAGAAACGCATGCTATTCGTTTTGATATTAGGAAGTTCTTTAAACTACCATACGGAACCAGTTCAGTCACAACAAGACTCTTCTCTGAAATAAAAATAAAAAACAACAACAACAAAAAAAGATTAAATAAAAAGGAGCCGAGTATTCATTACAACAAATACTGATTAGGATAAAACATACCCTCTCGAGTACAAACGCCAACTAAGCTGACGATGTTTGGATGCCGTCCAGCTTGTTTTAACATCTTTATTTCACTTAATAAATCGTTTTTGTCTGCCATGCTTGTACCATCTGTATAGAAAAGCAACATAAGAGTAAATTCATTAACATGTTATACACTGATTAGCTTTCACTGTGTTCGATGTTTCTAAATCGCGGCAAGATATATACTTTATCATCATCATCATCATCATCGTCATCATCGTCATCATTATTTATTTATTTAATTTTTTTATATCAGATAACCTGCATCAAGCCTTCCGTGGGAGTTCTTGGGGGCCCTGTTAGAAGAGAGGACATTTGAAAAGAAGAAGAAGGCGTGACATAAAGAAGTAAATGCAAGAAAAATATATTGTAGTACATTGTGTACATTTCTTCTGCAACACAGGTTTTGTTGCAGCATGTCTACTCATTCCTTTAAAAGCAAGGCTGATAAATGAAGAAAAAAAAACATATCAACCAAATTAGGTGCCTTTCATTCATATATAATAGTACCTTTCAACACGAAATGACGCTGTAGTATCTAGGAAGGTAGCACAGGGGCCATCGATGGAAATAATTGTTAAGGTTTGAATCCCTCTCCAAGTACTACGTCAGACACTATTAATCTATCCAAGTCAATCTCCCAGCCTTCTTCCTTCTCCTTTAATAAGATACTATAAATATTTTTCTATAATCAGAAAAATTATTAAGGCATAATAAAAATATAGTTATAATAAAACAAATGCTCTCGCTGTCTGACCCCATACTTATTCCAGTATGTAATCCGAAACTATTAATAGGCTGTCCGAGTAAGAATCGACCACTTGATCATGATCAAAATTTCGATTCCGTTCAAAATTTGTCAAGGCCATAAAACAAGGTTCACATAAGATAAAAGAGAACAAGTTTCTTTGGTTCGAAATCTTTATAATACCTTAAATATTGAGGCAAAATGTCACCGATACCCGGAAACCTCAAAACAGGTATTTCGCGAAGCCAAAATTTGCCCGATTTCGGTTGCTTGCTTCTCGGCGGGTATTTGTCAGAATAACTCCAGATTCACATACTGCACATAATATATACACACATCGAAATGCTTTAACTCAGTGGTAAAACCAGATCAAAGTAACATCTATTGTCTAATGACCAACCAAACGCTTGCGTTGATGGTACAACACACTCCCTGAACGCGAGCTGCAGTGATGTTAGGACAGTCCCTCCATTTTTCTCGCTTCCTCCCAAACCAACCCCCGCTCCTTAAGTGGTTTTGACACTCATCCAAGATGGACGCCCGTAACGCAAAGCGTTCGATCTCCACGATCTTACAGAAAAAAAAAAGGCACTGTGAACAGTCTTATCTCTGGGTGGAATTTCTCTTTGTCAGTGGGCCCTTATATTTAATGTTATTTTTTTTGGTAGGCTCCAACGCCCATGGCCACGCCCTACAAACCTTGCCTAGTTCTGAAATCGGCTGCAAAACCAGGTTTATTTCATAGGTACTGAGATTTATCCACGAAAATCATAGTGAATAAAATTCGCACTGCTTCTGCTCGTAGCCAATCAGGAACACGAACGACAAAATTTCACCGTAAAAAAACTATCATTCGTCCAATCAGCAAAGCGAACGACGAAATTTCACTGATGATGAATAAACGTACTGAAGAGAACGAGTGGGCATTCGGCAACCTGTTTTCCGACGCGCGAAACTTTTTACGCCGAGGGAAGGTTTACTTCTGTTTGCTCGCTTGAAAAATTTATGTTGGAACACGTAAGCAAAAATACCGCTCAAAATCTGAACGAGATGTACCTTATTATAGGAAATTAACGCTCCATGAAATTAACGCGAATCGTTAAAATTCGCGTTAATTTAAGTCGCGTAAATTTTGTTGAGCGTTAATTTCCGCGCTCTTAATTTCCAGTATTTTAACCCCATTATGGAACCTGTCCAGACATTCTTCACACCTAAAAACATTAACTACAAGCTTCCTTTTTTTCCATTTACTCTTTATTTTTTCACCTTTCACAAAAGCTAAGGCGAAGGTTTACAATATTTCGAGTTCATCTTCATCGTTGTCGCTGTCAGAAGTGATGTCAGTATCTTTTCCTTCGATTTCGCGTAATTAATCGCGTTAATTTCTTTTATTATGAAATTCTACCTCCTCCTTCGCGTTAATTTTCTTTATTCGAAAGTCGTTTCCCACTAAATTCGCGTTAATTTAAGTCGGGTTCCAATGCCTTAATTTCATGGAGCGTTAATTTCCTATAATAAGGTAAGATTGTTTAAAAGATCTTTGAAAATGAAAGACGAAGACAGGAAAATTGAAGATATTCCAACGGTTGAGCTGAATGGACACATTAGCTTACTTATCATCTCTGTCCGCACTAAAGATGGCAACGAATACAAGCCGACTTCGCTTCGAAGTTTAAAGGCCAGTTTCGTACGACAGTTAAAGAAAAAGGGCTATTCTGCCGGCATAATCAACAACTTGGTCTTTGAGAAAACCAGACAAGTTCTTCAATCCAAGCAAAAACAGCTGAAGAAGCAAGGAAAAGGGAATAAACCCAAAGCATCGGTAGTTTTGACAAGCGAAGAGTTAAAAATACTGTACGAGAAGGGTTTGCTCGGTATGTGTAGTCCTGAGGCACTGTTTTAAAAAAACGCTCTGGCTGGACAACACAGTAAGTGTTCTAAATTTTATAGGCTTTCATTTACTTAGTTGTTGTTGAGAGATTTTAAATTGACTACTTGTTACAGTTTTGATCGCCCCAATTGTGCAATTTGTCTACTAAATTACACGAACAAATCTCAGTACCTATGATATAAACACAGTTAATACGTATCAGAAAACTCACTCGTTCGCTGCGCTCACTCGTTCTTTTTCTGATACTACTCAAATCGTAAATAAAAATCTTACGCGCGCATTTCCCATGAAGTAATCTGGGGCTGGTCCCTTAGCTAGGTCCAGTTTCACTAAGGGAAATAATGTCTAGCTGCGGATAACTGTTGATAGTCATGCAGTAAGAACTCCTTAAACTCCTTAAACGCTGATGTCGTCGCTCGTGTGTTCAGGTGCATGATGGTAAGGTGCCGAGAGGGTGGAGATAATTCAGTGTTATGGGAAAATTATGTAGTGTCATGCGCTTAGTAGGCTACTAAGGCCTCCCGACAATTGCAGAACATCATTGCAACATTTGTCTACGCACTTTCAAGAATATAATTAGCAATAGCCAGCATAAACAGAGAAAGCTTTTGCGGCTAATATTTTCCACACAATTCAAACTAAGGCGCCCGCGCACGTATTATCTCCCGCTTTGTAAGAACAATAGCTAGGTCCAAGAATTGTTTTTAAATGGCTTCATGTCAACAGTCTAATAAGTCTTCCTAGATCATAATTGTTCTAAATGATAGCTTAAATGATACTTTTTTAACTTGAATCTTATTTGTTAAATATATTTGCCTTCATGATTGTACATATTTTTGTCTATAATAATTGCATTTATTTGCATTTAACTCTAGCGGAAGGGAGGGAGGATTGGCACTAGTTTCTTTCTCGGTCATGCGTTCTACGCAGCTTTTTGCCATGTACTTGTACATATCGTAGCTTCGCTGAATACACGTTTATTTTCCAGAATAGTTTCTTATGGTGTGTTGTTGTCGTTGTTTACACTATGGCGACTAGAAAGAGCAGCAGGAGAACGAAACATCCGATAAAACTAAAAGATTTCGTCGCGGATCATTTTGTAGCAGAATTCACAACACCTCAACAGATGAGCGTAGCAGTCAAACGCGAACTGAGTCACAAACTTTAAGGCAGAACAACCCACTGTAAACGACAGAACGACCAAAGATCAACGAAACCACGATTTACAGCTCGAACTGGACCTTACTCGCACAAAACTCGAGCTGTTGGAGCTACAGCGAGAATCCACGCAACAAAGTGCGCCCAAGATGGTCTCGGCGACCGCAACAACAACACCTGAGGGTAATTTTGTCGGAAAAAAAAATTTTGGAAAGTCTCCAGCAAGACCCAGTTGTTCAATCTGAGCTCAAATCCCTCATGGATTCCTTAGGAGACCCCATCTTACTGGGTTTAACCGAAGAGGAACAAGACCCAGCGCAGCCACTGTTTAAGCCCTTTGCTTCGCGAAGTAAATGTCCTCTTCTTATCCCAAATTTCATTAGTTCCCTCCCCTTAGCACTACATGAGGTTAAGGAGAACGTGCTTGGAACCTCTAGTAATGTTAGAATTAAAAACTGCTCAGGACAAGAAACTCTCTCTTGAAAAAATCTCATTCTCACAATGGTCAGCGGCTAACTTTCGTATCATGCATATTCTCATGACAAATGGGTCGCTCTCGACCTCCTAGGACATCCTTCAATATATTATGTATATTTCAAAGATATCTGAACTAGCAAAGTGTTACCCTTTATCGAAAGTGATGCAATATGATGATTTGTACCGCAGAATGCAGTTTTCGACAAACTGTAAATTAGGTACTGACAGCCAGTTCATCTCCCAGCAAACACTCCACAGACCAGATCCAACTCCCACACCGCCGCGCCCACCTCCTTGCAACACGTAGCAGGTTTGCTACGATTACCAACGACGTGAAGGTTGCCGCTTTGTCTCTTCCTGTAAATATGATCATGTTTGCATCACACCGCAATGCTTGGGAATCCACCCACCATGGCAGCACCAGTCTGCTACTGCTCAAGAACCAAATACTAAGTCTATACTCAACTGCAGATCTTCCTCCGAGTGGTATTTTGACTACAGAACAAGCAGGAGTTGTCACGATCACGTTGTTAAATGCCGGGACTGATCCCGTCTTAAGGACACCACTTCCCGCAGAGTGTGAGGAAAGTTCACCTATTCATGCAGGGCCGTTCTCAGAATTTAAGCAGCAGCCCCAAGCAGCCAAGGTCTCCAAAGACTTACTTTTTGAGACCTGGGCAACAGAACTAAACAATGACCCGGACATGGACTTTATCTTGGATTGTGTTAAGCTCCTTTCTCCTCATTCAACGGTTTCACATGCCTTTACACATAACAATAAGTCTGCTTTGCGGCCTGGCGC